TATTTAATATTTAAGTATTCTATTAAATCTAGTTGATTTAATCTTTCTTTTATGACATCCATGTATCAAATTAGATGTATAAAAGTGAAAAAAATTCGATAAATTAATGACTCTTTGTTCATATTATTTTAAAAATTCTAATATTTTATTGTCTCTTTCTTTTTTGTTAGTGAATTATGTTGAGGTATCTTAAAAAACAAGTAGTGCTTGTAGCCAAAGAAGAGCGAACAATAGTTGATTTAAATTCTCAATGACCCTTTGTTCATATTATTTTAAAAATTCTAATATTTTATTATCTCTTTCTTTTTTGTTAGTGAATTATCTTAAGGTATCTTAAAAAACAAGTAGTGCCTATAGCCAAAGAAAAGTGAACAAGAGTTGATTTAAATTCTCTTCTAGCTGATCATAGAGAATGACCAAGAATTGAAAGTTACCATCCTAATGATCGAGATGAAGTTAGAAGAGCATACCTTCAAAAAGGCCATTGTCAACCTCATTCTCATGATTTTCAACCAAGAGATATTGGAGGTAGATTACGTCAATTTAATCCTTCTTAGTTTGCTAAATATAAACATTGGTTGGGAAGCGGCATTTTGCTTATGTTGTTATTTGTTTAAACCTAAAATTAAAAACCAAGGTGGTGTTGATTCTTTTGTGAGGGAAGGATTTAAGGCTTGGAACAAAAAATCACGACTAAATGTTCATAATATTGGAATTGCACATAGTATGACGGTTAAAAAATGTCAAGATTTGATGAAACAATCTCAATCTATCCATTCTACTTTTAATAGGCAAACAAACTTGCTACTCATGATCAAGACTCGAGTATAAAACTCGATTAAATGTATGTGTTGATTGTGTAAGATTCCTTTTGAGACAAGTATTGCCTTTTTGTGGTCATGATGAACGCGAAAGTTCAAGTAATAGAGGAAATTTTCTTGAACTTCTACACTTTTATGCCTAACGTAATGAAAAAATGGGTAGTGTTGTATTCGTAATGCTCTTGGAATTTAACGGATGATTGCTCCTTCAATCTAAAAAGACATCGTGCATGCTATTATAAAAGAAACTACCAAGGCGATAATTGAAGACCTCGAAGATGATTTTTTTGGGATTTTAGTTGATGAATGTTATGATGCATCATGTAAAGAGCAAATGGCCTTGGTTTTGTAATATGTGGATAGAAGAGGATTTGTAATAGAGAGATTTATTGGCATTGCACATGTTACTAATACTTCAGCCACATCACTTAAAGCTATACTTTATTCTATGTTTTCAATGCATGGATTAAGTCTATCAAGAATTTGAGGATAAGGTTATGATGGAGCGAGTAATATGAAAGGTAAGTTCAATGGCTTGAAAGCTTTGGCTATGAAAGAAACTACATTAACATATGACATTCATTGTTTTGCTCATCAATTACAATTGAAACTTGTGTTTATTGCAAAGAATTATTTTTCCATTAATGATTTCTTTGATTTAATTGCTCACTTGATGAATATGATTGGAGCTTCTTGTAAACGTTGAGACAAGCTTAGAGAGAAACAAGCAAAAAATATAGTTGAAGCATTACTTAATGAAAAGCTTCAAAGTGGTCGAGGATTGAATCAAGAAATGGGCATTAAAAGAGCTGGTGATGCTCATTAGGGATCTCACTATGGATCACTCTTGAATGTGATGACTATGTTCGATTCAATTATTGAAGTGCTTGAAGACATTGAAAGTGATGGCATATGTCAAGATCAAAGAGTAGAAGCACGTCGTCTTTCGGCTTTGTTGGAGTCATTTGATTTTATCTTTTGTATGCATTTGATGGTGACTATTTTAGGTATTACAAATGAGTTAAATTTGGCATTGCAAAAAAAAGGATCAAGACATTGTGAATGTTAGCTCACTTGTTAAAGTTGCCAAGCAATGATTGCAACAAACAAGAGATGATGGATGGAAAGATCTTTTCAATGATGTTTCTTCCTTTTGCAACAAGCACGGTCTTCACATGCCAAACATGGATGGTGCATATGCTCGAAGAAAGCATCACAAGGCTTCGCGAGTTAATAATTTACACTATTATCAAATTGATTTATTCTATGTCGTCATAGATATGCAACTTTAAGAGCTTAATAGTTGTTTTAATGAAGTGAACACCGAATTACTTTTTTGTGTTGATTGCTTAAGCCTAGCGAATTCTTTTAGTGCATTTGATAAGGAAAAGTTGTTGAAGATGGTTGAGTTTTATCCATGTGAGTTTTCTGTTGTTGAGCTTCGACACTCAAAAATCAACTTGGGAATTATTTAGTGGATGTGCTTGGAGATGAAAGGTTTGCTAATTTGAAAAGGATAGGGGATCTTTTAAGGAAAATGGTAGAGATGAAAAAAATAATATTTATCCATTAGTGTATTTACTTTTGAGATTGGTATTGATTCTACTTGTAGCAACGACAAGCTGTGGAGCGAGCATTTTCCACAATGAAATTGATCAAAAGTGATTTACAGAATAAAATTAATGACTAATGGTTAAATGATTGTTTAGTAACATATATTGAAAAGGATGTATCCGATAATGTTAGTAATGATACTATTATGTGTTATTTTCAAGATATGAAAACTCATCGAGGACAATTGTAATAGTAATATATTGAAAAAGATGTATCGAATAATATTAGTAATTATATATTCATGTGTTATTTTCAAGATATGAAAGCTTATCGATGACCATTGTAATATATTATGTGGAACCCTCTTTGAAAAGTTTCGAATTCGCCATTGCTTCGGTTACACATCCGGTCGAGATTGTGTGTTTCAACTACGTCATTCCATAATTTACTCTACTTTTCAAATCTCGATAACCAACCATTAAGAGGCAAACTTTAAACATGCCCCTCATTTATCATAAGAATCAATTTGACTCGCAAACAATTTGTTTTGCAACAATTTGGATTTTTTAATAAGAAGGCTCTGTTGGAATCAATTAATAGAAAATTGTTAAAAAAAAAAAACATGGAGGCAAAGCTGCTACAAGAAAATAGAGTTGTATTTGAATTTGTCAAACCTCATCATATTCACTAAATTATAGAACTTACTTTATATTATAACTAGATTTTTACCCACGTTACGCAATGGATTGAACATAATATATAAAATTATTTTAAAAAATAATTTTTATTTTGATGGTATGTATGATATTGTGAGTTTACTAAAATATATCAAATCAAAAGTAAAATCAAAAATATTTTTTTAATTCTTTGTTTAACTAATTATTTATTATGTTTTTCATATTTTTTTTTACTAAAAAGAACATGATTTATTCTTTTATATTCGGATTCTTAACTAAAAACTTTTGAGAAAATTCAAAAATCCATGGATTCTTACTAACACTTTTCTTATATTTGTTTTTTCAAAAAAATCTAAGACAAACTATCTAAAAAATACTTTTAATCTTTTTATATATAAACATAATATACCATTTAAAAATTAAAAGAATTTGTCATATAAATTCTATCAATTTTTTTTTAAGAGCAAATAATAATATTCTAAAAATTCATTAAAAGGCCATACATAAATCTCTCCCTCTCTCCTCCCTTTTCTCTCTCCTCTTAGCAGCTAGGGACTAAATTACAATACAAATAAAGTTGTGAATTGAAATAAAAATTATTGAAAAAATGAGAGATGAAAGAATAACATGAGCACAACTTTATAATAAAATGCTTGAAAAAAACCTCAAAATTACTAGAAAAAACCAATAAAAAAAATGTGTGAATAATATTCTGAATGAAATAAATGCCTAAAAATACACTTAAAATAACGAAAATATCACTTTCTTAAAATCACAAAAATACCATCAAGTGAATAGTATCATTTGAGTGTGTGAATAGTGTCGGGATAGTAAAAACTCTATATCTTTTAGGTTTCTTTATAATTTATAATGAGCCAGCTTGAAAGACTATAAGTGTCGTGTGTATGGCCCAATAATTAATTTTTAGGTTAATTTTAATTTACTTCTTTATAGTTTGAGGAAAATCTAATTTCGCTCTTTGACATTTTGATTGTATCAATGTTCTCCCCGATATTTAAATTATATATCAATATTTCTTTTGAAATTTTAATTACTTATTTTTCTTTAAGTTACCCAAGCCAACATAAAACGTTTTTTCAATCTCTAAACTTTTAAAATTTGATCCAATAGAATCATTTTAAAATAATTTGATTAGATCAAATCTTTTAATTCAATTAAAAGTTTCGAATAACACCATGTATAATATTTATATTTAAAAATATAAGATATCATGTTAATAAAAGATTTAAAGTACAAAAATCTGATTGCGCAAATTTTATAATTTAAAGATCAAGATTTTTTTTTTTTTTGAAAACTTTGAGAGCAAAAACTTTTAAATAAAGGCTAACATGTAAAAAATTAATTTTAAGGATAAAAAAATAATCTTTTATAACAATTACAAGCATTAGAAAGAAAATTTTGACAAATTATTTTATAATAAATATTAAAGTAACAGCTAAACCATATGCATGAATAAGAGGTAATTTATTGATGAGAATGTGGTGGGTAGTTTGATATATATTCCAATATTGTTTATAACTATTTATTTATATTTTAAATATGAATTGTATATGTATTTAAACCTTTTAATTGAAAGTATATCAAATTATCTATTAAAAAAATGTTTATTTGATCAAATCTCAAACTTTTAGGGGCTGAAAAAAGAATTAGTTAGTTGATCCAGTATTGACAAATCAGGGAGGATATTGATTCATTCAAAATTTTAGGGGAAGAAACTGAAATTTACCCAAACCTAAGGAGGGTAAATTAAAATTAACCCTAATTTATTCAGTTAAAAGAAAAGTAAAGTAAAGAAAAGGCAACAAAATTCGAAAACGAATCCCAATTTGTGGCCTTGTGCCCTTCTTTAAAGAGAGTTTCTCAGCAACCAAACACCCGCATAGAGAAGCAGAAACCAACGTTGTGATCATTGATTCAGCAGCAGCCAATGAGTTACAGAAGGTTAGTTTACGAATCACATACTCCCTTCAATTTAACTCTTCAGAATCCAATGTGACTTTTAGTAATCAAAATCACATCTAGTTTTGGTTAATTGTTTCTATTCTAGTTCTAGGGTTTCTTTTTCGTTTTTTTTTATTTGAAATATAATATACTGTGTATGCATTTCGATTTTGATTTGCTTGAATGCTAATCTTGAATTATGCATTTTGATATGATTTGCTTGAATCCTAATCTTGCATAGATTTTTTGTGTGCGTTTTCAAAATGATGCAGGGAGCACCGAACTTCGAGAACAGCTCTCTTCGACGACGGGCTTGAAGAAGGCGGTCTTAGGTCATCCTCTTCCTATTCCCACGAAACCGACGACCATGACAATGACAAGGCTGTCCACACTTTGCAAGACAGAGTTCTTTTCCTCAAGAGAGTATGTTACTCTGAGACCGCATTTTTGGCACTTAAGTTTGTTTTTTTACATTCTATGTTTTCATGAAATCTATACCATGTCATGATTAATTTAGGATGTCATGAACAATGCTGTTTTGATTTGAGACTTATTTTGGATGTTGTTGCTGCTTCTGATGTGTAGTTGAGTAGTATTCTGAACTGAGATGACATAGTGTAATGCAATCATCTTTTAGAGTGTTGCAGCACCTGCATCTTTTAATGTTTGTCAGTGATGGGTACTAACAAGGTTCTTGCTGGTGATATGGATGTTAAACAAATTTGTGTGTATTTGACTCCGTTTGGGGGCTTCTGGTTTGTATTTATCTTTGCCTTTTGTGTTCAGTTGGTCTTCCTCTTCGGTTTTTTGGAAAGTTTGTGTGTACAAGTTTATTTAATCTCTTGAAATTTGTGATTGTTGTATCTGCTACTATTGTATAGCACCTAGTGAAGTTTCGCAATGCTTTATGCATACAAATTGCAAATGCCGGATCCAATTCTCCTCTGCATATGATGGAGCTGGGAATGGAAGGGTAGTTCCTATGTTGCTTAAAAGTAACTGTAGAAAACAGATTAAAATGTTAGGTCAAATAATATGCTACCCTTTTCCATATAGTTACCATAATGCATGTTTTCAATTGATGTCACACACTGATAAGTTTTTGAAAGTTGGTTCCACTTTTATTATGACATGTGAGTAATTTTATGCGTGCGCAATATTCAGAGGAATTGAAGAGCCCCTCTACCTTGATTTTTTTGTCTTTAGAGGATTCCTGATCCTCCTATTTGTGTATCTCTCCATTTCTGTTCCAATAAAATCACTTTGCTTTCTTTTTTTAAGGAAAAAAAGTTTTATATGTTATGCACTCTCTTGCGTTCATTATCAGAGGCATCTGTGTAATATGAGAAGTTCTATTGCTGCAGTGCAGCCTACTGGAATTCTTTATCGACAGACAGAATTTTGATTAGGGAAGAGAAATGAAAGTAACCCAAGATTGATGTTTTACTGCAAACGATATAGGTCTTTTGGCTGGTGATCCCTTTAAATTTTTTAATGCCCAGTGGAAATGGAAGAAAAAGAAAAAGAAAAAGAAAAAAAAAAAAGTAAAAGACAAAAGAAGGATATCCCTTTAAATTTTTTAATGCCCAGTGGAAATGGAAGAAAAAGAAAAAGAAAAAGAAAAAAAAAGTAAAAGACAAAAGAAGGATAATCAGGGCCTGGTATTTTCTGGTTAATACATCTGAATTTTCTTGTTGAAGCAACTCATTGTATGTATATGTCTTGTTTGCAGTTAACAGGTGATATACATGAGGAAGTGGAGAGTCAAAACCGTTTCCTAGATGGAATTGTATGTGGTTTGTATTTTTGATTGAGAGCCCCTAATTTAGGGAAAACAATTTTAACTTATTTATTCTGAATGAAATCTGTTGTAAAATCAGGGCAACAACATGGACACATCGAGGGGTATAATGTCAGGAACCATGGATCGATTCAAGATGGTATGTAAGCTAGACCTACTTTGCAGTTTATATTTGTTCTACTTCCTTGGCTGCCTGGAAATGGCTGAGCATAATAAAGTTCTTGCTATGCAGGTATTTGAAAAGAAATCAAGTTGGAGAACATTGACACTTGTGGGGTTTTTCATCCTCTTCTTTTTAATTCTGTATTATTTCATTAGGTAAATGAATTAATGTTGGAATTTTTTGCAAACAACTGTTTCATATCTGAAAGGGCCAAAGCTTCTTGCCATCAGTTTTAATCAAATTTACTGCAGTTGAACTGTTCATACAAATGGTTGGAATAGGGCAGTGAGTTTAAGTTGTCTCCCTGCCAAATTTATCGAGTCTCAAAATCTTGGTCAGCTTCCATTGAGCTAAAAAAATTCTACATTTTAACATAGGTTTAGCATAGGAAACCAAAAAATTGAAGAGAAAGATGAATTCTGGTCTAGGGATGCATGGATTGAACAAATATCTTCCATTGATGCTGATTAACTTTTCTTTTGCAGGGTCCTTAGATACTTGAAGCAAAGTTGAAGCGGAATTATGAGAACCTCACCTTTGAAGTCCTTGATTAACAATGGGAGTTGGGCATACATACGCAAAATGGTTGCAAGGGTGCTGCAAGTGTAATGATCCTGGTCTTTTCTGAAGTAGGAAGAGAACTCATGCTTTACCGTATCTGATAGATGGCCTGTGATTGATCAACGTGTACTACATGCTTACCATATTCTTGTGATTTTTGTAAGTAAACATGGAGTGGAAGCATTTGTTAGAACTAACGGAAAATATCAAGGCACGTTAGCGTGCAGTGTTTTGTTAGTCTTGTGCAAGGATATCTCCAAATGAAGATTTTCCATTCAAGTGATGAAATCAAGATTTTTTTTTTTTTTTTGGCCATGAAGCAATACTTAGCTACACCTGTGGTCTGCCTGTTTACCCTCAGATGTAAACTCGTAGCACATCTTTCTATTGAAAAAAACAATACATAGAGAAATCCAGTAAATTCTAAACCAAGCTTGGATTCAGAATCAGACTGTTGCTTTCTCTCGTCTTTTCTCTAGTGGATCTTAATCTTACAGCGTACGTGCTTAACTTCCACTGTAACTTCTGTTTAATGAGCCTGTAATAGGTATGGGATGTTTGATTCAGAAAGGAGACTCCAAGCTCGAAAGCTGTGGGATACTGTTGACTGTAGTGCTGTTAGACAAGTCTCCTTCAACTGATTAGTTTGTACGGATTGTAATGTTATGAGAAGTTTAATCGATCCCCTAAATCTCTCTAATTATACTTCGAACTTAAAAAGTATATTTTGCTGGGAAAGTTGTCAATTTAGAGAGTAGTTTTCCTTGGCAAATTTTTCCATGCATGAAGATTCTGGAAATCCTGGAGCAAAGCTTAAGTTAACAAAGCTAGTAATTCTCAACCGAAGTAAAAGAACAACATATTCAGGAGTATTAAGCGTGATCATGAATGGAAGGTGAGCGAACCTTACAATTAATTTCTTAAAAATTGCTGATCGATCTATATTTCCCTGTATTTTTTGGTTTCTGGTCTGTTTAATTTGGCCTGAAATTGTGAAGTGGTTGTGTGGATTTGAACTGGTCACGCTGACCCAGCAACATGTTCTGCAACTTGTAGACACTGTTGTTTTCTAGTTTCCTTAGCATTGGGTGTATTTCTCATTCAATAGAACTTAACAAAAGTCCAACGATACTCTGGTCCTATGATATTAGAGCAGGTTATATTTCAACAAATTCAGCAATATAATTCTTAGATTCAAAGCTCCTAATTGAGCAGTTTCTATACTTGGACGAACATTATTTGGCTTTGTAATCTCTTCCAAATTTGGAAGAACACTCTTTCTGCCTAACCTAGTTGTAGGCTTATAGATGTCCAGTTGTTGATACGACATAATTAAATAAGGCCAATGCAGCCATCACTTCTGTCCCATTGCTTCTACCATAATTTCACTGCATTTGCATAAACTCGACAGTCTACACATCTACGCCACCACCAAGCAGCAGCAGCGCGCACCACCAGTATCCATACCTTAGTAGCAAACTTAATGCAACCTACCCTGTGAACATATTACAGACTTACGGTAATTTTACCCTTAAATTTATGGTCACCGTTTTACCCGGCATTAGTTGAACTTTCGTATGCATGCTAATCAATGGCAAGAACTATACGTACGTGAGTATTAATTTACAAATCTACCAGCTGTGAAAACAAAACATGAAGAGTCAATGGATCAATAGTTCAGTGCTGGTGGTAATCCATATTCCTACGTGATCAAGGGTTACAAAGCTAGTCCTTAAAGGAACAGTACTGGTTGAACGATATAAATAAAAAAAATAACCAATCCTACTATATATGTCACACACCAAACATGGATTTGCCCGTATATAGGAGGAAAAATTCAAAGAAAAGACCCTCATTGCTAGTCAAGGACAAAGCAATGTGAAAAGACATTGCAGCATTAAGTTTGTTTTTGGTACGGGTAAAAATCAACATTGATCGGGAGTAAACATCAATGTCCTTTTCTTTTCATTTATGGGCAGGGTGCAATTAGGCATCAACATCTCAAAATTTACCTTCTATCTTTTATTTATTTATTTATTTTAATTTTCTTCTATTATTCTTATCTCCAATTTCAAATATGAATAGTTATGTTTGTGATGAAAATCATAAGTTTTAATTTTTTATAATAAATACGATTTCAATACTTATGTTTGAGATGAAAATCATAAATTTTAATCGTTTATAATAAGTACGATTTCAAAATTAAAAAAAAAAAATTATCTAAAAACTAGCTTTTCAAACATTACATCAACTTGTTGGTTATTCTTCTTTATATTCTTGGCTAAAGAGATTAGAAATTTTGGTCACTCGACCTTTGACATTGCAGAACTTATTCAATTATTATCCTATAGATATTTCTTTTATTAGCAGTAAGATGTTACAACTCTTTTTTATGCTATCAAAAGAGTTTGAGCCAAGCGAAAGTGTGCACTCCAATCTTCAGTAACTTTTTTATAACCATAAATCAGTTATCTACAGGAAGGCAGAGTTCTCCATCTCTGGCAACATCTGAATTAATTACCTGCAGGTAATAATCAAATATCAAATTGACTAATGAATTAGTAAAACAACTTGGGATTGTAATTAATTATATAAGCTGATGATGGGACATTGTTTATGTAGCTAGAGAAAGACTTGCGGCCGATCCATAAACGTAGAGATTATTAGACTCAAAGATTATGAAGAAAGTGCGAAGGAAAAGACACATGGAAAGGTTGTGAGCAACTAATAGCAGTAATACCAGGTCCATCCTTCCATCCATAAAAAAATAAGCTAACATACTAACAATATTGAAATTTTGGGGCACGAGAAAACGACGTGCTTCCCACCTGCCCACGCGCACAAGACCCCACGAAACCCTAATTTCAATGACCTCTAAAAGAAGAGCTTATAATATATATTGCTCATGTTACTGCTCTCTAGTACTACTAGTATTAATAAAGTACATAGTCAAGGAGAAAAAAGAAAAGAAAAACCATCTTGGCTAGCTACCCTGCCGAATCATAACAAAGCGCAAAGACACAGAAAGAAACACAGAGCCAACATTCAAAGAAAGAAATTATGCAACCTTCATTTTTGTCTTCAGAGATCCGTTTTTTCATACTTTGATGAATCTCCATCCTCTAATTAGTGAGCTTTAGTACTTTATAATTCTTTCTTTTTTCTCACTTAATTTGTGTGCTTGATTGATTCTATGACGGGTTTTGCATAAGTTCTTTCTTCTTTCTATTAAGATCACTGCTGGGTCGTGCCTCGCTTTACTTGATTCCATGAGCAATTGCATCTAATTCTTTCTTTTCACAACCTCTCTCCCTGGCTAGATAGCTAGCTACCTCCTTTTCTCATCATTCTTCCGCCTCCCTCACATGCAACCTCATCAAAATCCGAGAAAGACGTACTGATCGATCAGCATAGTTGCTAGCCTGTACAAGAACCCTATTAATCGTAGTTCCAAACATCTGTAAGTTTCTTGCTAAAACTTGCTTTGACTTTCTGATCTCGAACCTTGGCTAAATAAAACCAACTAAAATTCAATTAAGTCTTTAGCCCTTCTCTAATTCTCTAAATCCCTTCCTGTTCCCTTGATTAGCAATCCTGGCTAATCCTTGGTGGGCGGGCCAGGTTGGCCTGCCAGGCCTTGACCCTTCATCCAATTCACCTTCTCTAAACAAAATGAATCGTGAGCTCTCCATCAATGAAACCAGCAACAGAAACGGTGGCAGGGGCGATGATGATGACGATGACGATGATGATAGAGATACTGGCGATGAGCCTAAAGAGGGTGCTGTTGAGATTGGTAACCGAAGACCTAGAGGCCGGCCTCCCGGATCAAAAAACAAACCCAAACCGCCAATTTTTGTGACTCGGGACAGCCCTAATGCCCTCCGTAGCCATGTCATGGAAATTGCTGGTGGTGCTGATGTAGCTGAGAGTGTGGCACAGTTTGCTCGGAGGCGTCAACGGGGAGTTTGTGTTCTTAGTGGCAGTGGCTCCGTTGCCAACGTAACCCTAAGACAACCGGCAGCACCCGGTGCTGTAGTCGCACTTCATGGTAGGTTTGAGATTTTGTCCCTAACTGGGGCATTTTTGCCGGGACCGGCTCCACCTGGTTCTACTGGACTGACTGTGTACCTTGCCGGTGGACAAGGGCAGGTTGTAGGAGGAAGTGTGGTTGGATCACTGATCGCAGCAGGGCCGGTTATGGTCATCGCCGCAACATTTGCTAATGCCACTTATGAGAGATTACCATTAGAGGACGATGAGGAAGCTGGAAGTGGTGGTCAGGGACAAATCCAAAGCGGAGCTAATAATTCACCGCCAGCGATCGGAAGCAGTGGACAACAAGCTGGATTGCCTGATCCCTCAGCTATGCCTGTCTATAATCTGCCGCCAAATCTAATCCCAAGTAACCCTCAATTAGGGCATGATGCCTATGCTTGGGCTCATGCTGCCAGACCTCCTTTCTAATAGAGAAGCTAGAGAGGAGATTTTCATGATCATTGTGATATTGTGTTGTACTAAAAGGTAGGCATTTAAATTGGAAGGAAAAGAAAAATACTAGAATAGAAAGTTGTGAAGAGAAGAAACCATGCTTGTCAATGTATATTAAACTTTGCTGTGCTTTCCTTTCTGTTTTGCAATAAAATTAAAGATGATTTCTGGCTTTTTAATTGTTTCCCATCAAATTTTTAATAGTTTTTTCTACATCCATTGTTCCCCGTTCAAATTTACCTCGGATTGGATATTGTCTACTTATTTTATTCCAGGTTATAATATATATTTAGATTGATGCTCTTCTGAATTATAGTATATCTGATATGATGGATTTAACTTTGGAGGTTTAGAAAACTGGATATGGTTGGTAGACAGACAAATCACATAAAGTTTTGGGTGTTTGCTGTATAATCCTCACCTTTTGCTTCAGGCTCTTGCAATCTCACTTTACTCAAAAGAAGAAATGGTGTTTTTCAAGACATTATATAATCTCATCTAGATTTATGGTTAAAAGTCCGTAGATTGATCTCTTGAACTATTTTTATTGAAGTGACTGACTTATAATTGCATGGTGACATTATTATAGGGTTATTTCACAGAACAAACTGAAAAACAGAAGGATATCCTCATTGGCTATTGTGCAGAGGAACGTTGGTACAAATTAAACCTTCATGTATAATATTTGGAAAATAGATTTCATTTTTCCAATATAAATATAGCATTACAACTATAACCAAAGAAAGAAAGAAAAAAACAGAGAGAACATAAAGGATTTAAAAATATTTTTATGTAGAGAAAAGAAAGGATTCTATGATGATATCCAGGCTCCAGATAACAGTATTTTATGTATATTTACTTTTTGTTAGTTTAGTAAAGCAAGTGGCTCCATTTCGTTTCTTTATTCTTGCATTATCTAATGAAAATGTATGGTAGGAATTAATTAGTATATGGCTCTAACACACATACCGACATAATTTAGATACAGAAACTTGCTGTGAGGGACTGAAACATGTAGCTATAGAATACTGGGGGGAGAACATAGAAAAAGAAGGGGATGGTTTCTGAATCTTTTTTCAAGTTGGAGGAAAATATTATCCTTGGCCAAGTTAAAATCCAAAGATACGGAAATAAAAAACATGGCAAAGAGATGTTGAATTGGTGCACATTCAAAGAAAAAAGGAAAAAAAAAAAAAAAGACTATATGAATGAATTGTTAAGTTTAGAGGACTTTCTCTTTGTCAATTTCCCCTAAATGAATTATAATAACTCTACGAGAGCATGCTATAGCCCCACATGCTTGCCCAAGCCAAAGCAGCCTCCTCCATTTGCAGGATGGCTCTTCTCTCTGCTAGTCCTTCGACCCGCGTGTAAAGGTGATACTCTCTCTCCGTGAGCAAGATCTGTCCCATAAACACTTACTGGAAGATTTCCTTGGATGACAAATCTGGTGGCAGAATGGGGGATTTTCTGTCCATAATCAAGAAGAATAATTTGTAAGGCCTAGGTGTCTCTTTGTCCGATATTTAATATTTCATTGTCTTGGGAATTAAACCTTTTTCTTTTTCCGTGTTGAAAATGAATATATATATTTTGCCTTCAACTTTTACACTTACGTATATTCTCACTCTATATTTATATGGAACCGAAATTTAAAGTATTTTCATGAAGGAGATATTATATGTAATATTCAGTTGATTGCAGATCATTGGTTTCTGGCTTTAGGATACCACCGCCAATGACAGAGATATAAAGTGAAAAATAAACCATTATTGCTGGTCATGAATATTATTTATATTAAACATTGCTAATATTAATTTACATCTCATATGAACATCGATCAAATGCAAATTGACATGGTCTCCGTGATAATTAATCTGATGCTTCTGATGTATTTTTGTGATAGCATCAACAGGCTTGCAAAGTTGTAATGTAGACTTCGACTTATCAATACAAGAATATATATAATCAGTAACTCAAAAAAAAACATTCATGTTTTTCAAAAAATCTATTAATTACGGGGAATAAATTTTTCAGAAGCTCTCTTAACTTACTGTTTGTTTGGGAAACAATTGAGACAAGAGAAGAGGGGAAGGGAAAGGATGGGAAGGAAGGGATGGAAAATTTTTTACCTTTTTTTTTTTTTTTCATGGATAAATAAGAAAGGGGATGGAAGAGAAATAAATTCTTTTGTTTGAATATGTTAATTTTTTTTTTTTTTTTTTATCGTAAAGTTATGTTAACTTGGTATTAATTAGATCCTTATAAGTTTATTAAAATATGTGAAATTTATAATTCGAATTTATGTATTTTTATCAATATTGTTTTATATGTTAAAAGTTTATAAACTTGATAAATATGAGATCAAAAGAGAAAATGTAATTCTAATTGGAAAAATAAGATAGTTAATATGATTGTAAAATAACTACTTAATTAAGATTTTTTAATAACTTTAAAAAGTCAATTAAAATATATAAAAAAATGTCACATTAGTAGTTATATTAGTTTAATAAATAGAAGAAAATGATTAAAACTCTGATAAAAGTTTAGATGAGTAACTGATACAAATGAATCTTAGAGGATAAATAATTGAGAAAGCCCTCAAACCTTAAGAGAACAAATTAAATTTTATCCAAAAAATTTCTTCCCAAATAAAGTTAATACCTCATTCCCCTTCCCTTTCCTTCCATATAACTTTTTTTTTCCTCCTCCAAAAAAGCTTGTTAATGTCCGGCCGGTTCTGTGGAAAACATAGAATCAATGCCCCATATCGGATTCCTCAACGGCCGTCCCCTTCACAAAAGTTGACTTATTCTGTCTTGAAATAATTTGAACTATCATTAATTTAAATATTACCTGTTCCAATATAGGCTTATGGTAGAACATAGAATATTTAATAGCAATTTGATCAATGATACACATGCGTAATATTTTAATCGAGAATAGGATCAAACATTAATCTGAAATAGGTATGCCACGAATTTCTCCTATGGATTTCAATTTTGATTATTGATAGATGAAAGTTTCAATATATATAATTGCTCAAAGTTGGCAGGTATGCATCTTCAAAATATATAGTTTTCCTGTAGGCCGGTTAGAACAATTATTTAGATATTAGTATGCAGGGGTCAAACAAGATGAATAAATGAACAACAGAATATTTCTTTCACTATCAAAACAGGGTTAGACTTAAAAGGCAGGAAAAAAAAAGGGGAGAAATCCATATAACTATTTTCACTTAACCCCATCCACTACTTTCTCCTTTCATCATCCCCAAGAGATGCAATTCAAGAAAGGATCTCAACTTTCTTCTCGCCACTTAATGTCATCGCAAAAGGGATATGAGAAGTATGAAATTTTTCTGTCTCAATATAATTTAATTTGTGGTCCAGATTCTATGTATACAGTTTTGTCACTATATGAATGATATGCTTCCCTGAGCTTTCAATCATTTTGGCCTAACAAAAAATATATAAGTTAATTTTCCTCTCTTATTATTTGCAATAAATTTGGCCTCAATTATATGAAGGACAAATCCCAACATTTTTCATTGACTTTGGTTTGGCACATGTATAAAATTTTTCATATTCTAAAATTGCAGAAAAAGTACTGCCTTATTGGTTCCATTTGTGCTTGCTTAAAATAGAGTATTTCTTACACACACACATATATATATATATATATATACTCGCTCATGCTTGGGCAAATACGAAATCAATTGATCATGTGGTTAATTTTATAAAAAAAAATTCCTTAATGTTTCTTAATTATATCGATCTGTTGCATATATATATAGTATATATTAACTAACTTCAAATTGGAATATAAAAAAACTCGTGAAATTAAATCCAATTAAAAGAATCCTTATTAGCTAGTTCTGTACCAAAGATTTCTAGTGTTTCATAAAGTTCATCAGAAGAGAACTTTCACAATATTCTATCAAATTAATTAATCCCTTTTATTATTAAAAAAATGATAATGATAATTAATTAATTAAGCCATTTAAGATGATCTGCTTCGACTTACACTCAAAGGATCTTATTGAGTTGTAGAAACATGGAGGACCCTCTTCACATGGATTCACGTGTCGTCGTTAATAAATCTTAATTTAAAAATTAACAGCAAATTGTATAATTACAACATTCCAAAGCTAAAGTCGAAGTATCGATGGACCCTCTCTTTTGTTCAATAATTACTCGCTTTAATTAAACAAATCCCTCATATTATTACACTAATAAAAACAAATTTATTCTCCTTTTATTTGTTCCAATTGCCTTTCCAAGTGTTGGCACTCAACAACTTGCATCTGCAACTACTGAGGCTGAGCTATCATTGAGACAGTGAGAAGCCATTAATCTAACATTAATTTGAAAGGGAATCCACTAACTCAACATTAATTAAATGAAGACCACCCATCAATTAAAGCCAAATTATTATATATTTAACTCAGTAGTACTCAGAAATTTATATATATATATATATATATATATATATATATATATATATAGTGGGGTTGCAGCGGACATCATCCAAGAGAAATCCAGGAACATGTTAGCTTTTCTTTCAAGTCCATGTTGATGCTGAAATTTAATTGCGCCGTTCCCTTGTTGTGGAGTACACGTCATCATCTTCGATCCACCGAAGCTGACTTTAAACTATTTTTTCAAAGACCAATAAATCTCATTTGGCTTCCTTTCTTGAGAGTGAAAAGCCAACTTTGCTGCAAAGGAGCTGAATAATGGGTTGAAATAAGGGTCTTTGATAGGCACAAACTGCCAACAATTTAAACAAAACCCTAGAGTGTGCCTTCAAGTTTATCTTCATCTCGGAGTTGGTGTGCATTTTTTTTTATGCTGGACAGATCTTATAATTTACTTGGGCTACGTTGTGGCATTAGCCAGGCTATCTATTCCTCATTTCATGGATATATATGGAAATAAGTAATAACCTATAGCTACCATGCAGCTCGATCGTTT